CAGGTCAGTTCACAGAGGTCAGGTCACTGGGGGTCACAACACGAAAGTGTCGTGTGATCAGGCATCGGTAGGATTGTGATTGCAGGATTGCAAAATCCTGATTGCATTCCTTTTTGGTGGATTGCACCTGGATTTGAAATCCATTCCAAAAAACAGGATTTGATTGCGGATTGGATTGCATCATACTTCCAATTTTTGCAATCCAATCCGGATTGTGTTTGATAAGTGCTTTGAAATGGTTTGCTGCGATTGAAGATTGTGAGATCGGCTTCATCGGCTTAATGTACTTTGCTATCAATGGTTTTACATCGAAACTTGAAATGATTTAAACGCTTTTAATTTAAACACTCAAAATAATATACGCTGATGAACTAAATAGGAAGGGCAAAATTATAGATATAGATCATAATATAGATCATTATACAGATATAGATCATAATAGATAATAATCATAATATAGATAAAACACCGGTTGGGCACAGGTTTAAATGTGGGGGTGTTTGAGGCAAAAAATATTTCCCATAAAATACCTGTGCCTTAGATAGGAATTACTAGCAAGACTAGGTACTAGAAATGGGTGATTTGGGGATGGAGGCACGGCCCTATGCCCCCCTCCCTTCCCCAGATCCACGAGTGCACATAATAATACAACAGGATTGCAAAAAAGGATTGCGGATTTGATCACAATCCAAGTGAAAAAAGGGGATTGCGGGTAGGAATGCAATCCACTTCGGCACTAGGAATGTGGATTGGGAATGCAATCCTTTCAAAAAGGATTTTACCGATGCCTGCGTGTGATACATGTTTTATGGTCCATTTTACATGACAAATGCGATTATGTGGGTCAGGCATCCTTTGGGGCCAGCTTAGGTCACGTTTTGGTCAAAGTCAGGTCAAGATCAGGTCAAGGTCAGGTTAAATTAGGTCAAATTTCAAAGATGATATTTTTGCATAGAATGGGTATTGAATCGATGCAGCTCGTCACGGGGAGTTCAATGGTGGTCTTTGTTTTGCCGTACTCGGAGGTCTAGAATCGCTAACAATTGAGTTAAAAAATTTGACGTCATCATTTTGGAACAGTTTTTTCGCTATAACTTGGCCAAAAAACGAGATATCGATCTGAAATTTGGTATGTATATAGAAGAGAGCAGGGACTATCACATATATTCCGTTTTTTTGAAGTTCGGGAAAATTTTGGATTTTTTTTTAGTTTTTCTAAAAAAATCAATTTTTTGATTTTTTTTTTGGTCAAAAACCCAAAATTTTGAAAATCCGAGATGGCAGTTTTGTAGCGCCGCTTTTTGTCTACTAGACCATGTAAAGAACTTTGAAATTGCTTGATAACTGTAGATTTGGTGAGCGTTTCAAGATTGCATGCTTTTTGCTCATTTTTGCTCGAACATGACCTCAGTTTGACCTCAATAACTCCTGACCTAAGGTGACCTAAGACTTGAAATTTAGTGTGAAGGTGGCAAATTGATGCCCGGGAAGGTAATGAAAATTTGGCGGCGCTGCGCGCCGCCGTTTTTTTGCTATTCAGGAAAAACCACAGGGGGGGGGGGGGCAAAATGGCCCCCCAACGGGGCGAGGGGTCAATGGGGAAAAATGAAAACTGCTATTCTGGCGCCGGGAACGATCTCCAACTATCTCAAGCACACAGAATCGTGATTTGATGCACTTTTTGCAAGGTTAGATTAGATGCGTCACTTTTGCAATGTTGACCTTGCGTGACTTCATTTATGACGTCATCAAGGTCATATTCTTTTTTCGTCAATAACTCCCGATCAAATTGAGCTAGCGAGTCGAAAAAGCCACCAATGGACTCAGGAAGACCTGCCGAATCGAATGATATGCGACTTGACCTCTTTCGACCTACTTCGTGACCTGGGGGTGCTGACCTGACCTTGACCTGAGGTCAACACCCTAAGTTGACCTGACCCGAACAAAAAGTATATCATTCGACGCGCCTGAGCGAGGCGAACACGATGCTGCCAAAATCGCGGCTCTGCGGCCGTTTGTTTGCGAAATTATTCACCAAAAACTGAACCATGCCTTGGGGCACTTGACCTGACCTCAGCGGTCACCGGTTGACCTAGGACCTTAAAATCGGGTACCAATTTCTGCGTCTCGTAACGGCGCATACGTTCGCTTTTTTTCCGCGACGCGCTAGCTCTACCAGGGGCGAAACGGCGAGGGGGGTCGTATCCCCCCCCCCCCACCGTCGGCCGGCGCGTATGTAGAAAACCAATAGGTCCGGCGAGGGTTAAAGAAGATCTGGATTTGCAGCATATTCGTCACCTGCCGCTTAGCACATTGACTTTGAAAGCAAATATATGATAGGGATAGTTAACCCTCGCACCGACGGGGGGGGGCGGATATCCGCCCCCCCCCCCCTGAGGTTTTTCGCGAATAGCGGGAAAACCGCGGCGTATGACTTTGGTATGAAATTTGGTATGACTATAACCTCATCAATTGTACACATGGTGTGCAAGTTTGAACCTCCTACCTTTTAAGGTCAGGTCATCAGGTCACTTTGAATGACCCAACCTCAAGTCACTTTTTTGCAACTTTGTCACCGTGCCAGAGCTACAGTAGATGTCGGAGGCCTTTGAAAGTCGCAGGATATTATTAGGTCATTAGTAGCTACAATTTGTATATCTCGGAATTTTGATATCGGTGACCTAAGGTCAGGTCAATTTCGCGACCTCCCCATTAGGTATAAGTCAATGGGGGAAAAATCAACTCCCTGTTTTTACCACTAAAACGGGTCGGAATGGCCCCATATACCATACATGACTTCAGAGTCGGCGTCGAGATCGCGTGGAGTGCGGACGTGCCGAGTGGAGGCGATCTTGGCGCACTAGAATCAGGGAGTAACACTGAGAGATAGGGATCAACCAACACAATTATAGGGAGATAGTAGGTAATCTTCTATAGATTATATCAAAACCAGGCTAGCTTCTTAGATATTTCATAGCATACAGGCTGACATTAGATACTGTATGGAATAGAAGTCTAGGTTAAGCTAAAATTTGATCGGGGGGAAGTCAAGGTCAAAATGGACGATATTGACAAAATAAATGAGATCGTAGCCAAGGCAGTCAGGAAAGAAACTGAAATTCTTAGAAAAGAAGTGGATCAACTAAAAAAGGAGAACACAGAACTGAAGGAAAGAGTAAATCAACTTGATCTCAAGGTAGATGAAAATGAACAGTACTCAAGGAAATCCTCTCTTATACTGTCTGGAGGAGGCATTCAAAGTCCACCCAATGATAGAGAGGAAACTTCCTCTGATCTCCAAAAAGCTACAACAGCTGCTATAGAAAAGCAACTCAAAGTCAAGCTCCAAGGCAAGCTAGCTGCATGCCATCGTCTGCGAAACAGAAACAGGGTGCTAGTAAAATTTCAGGATCTAGCAGATCGAGAGGCTGTCTATCAGGCTAGATTTGGACAAAATTTGGAGAACAAAGAAACTAACATGGTAGTCCATGAAAACCTGACTTCAAAAAGAGCAGCTCAGATCAGGGTGCTGGGAAAACTCCGCAGTGACCAACTGATTGCGAACTACCACACGCGCAACGGAAACATCTATGCTAGAATCTCGCATGATAGAAAATACACTAAAGTAGAACCAACACAAACTCAGGAAGAGATCATGCAGGCACTATCCAATGCAGACAAAGTGCACCCCAGGCAGGACTATGCAAACACGTCACGCACAAACCAAGAAATGCAAAGACATGGACAAACAAACAAACACAACAAAACAGACAGAAACATTCACAACCTGCAAGACTATGTGGTAGACAATCCACGACAGACAAGGAAACAGGCCAAAGCAGCAGAGCGTAAAACCTCAGAGGTTACTGAGTGATTATCCCTGATCCACTTTCTGAAAGATATACCCACAGGCTACTGAGATCAGCAATGGCAACTGGAAATATCCAGATTCAACATAGACAGCACACTCTGACATCTTGACCTGGATAAAATTCACACACCTGGAAGAGAGCAGTTGGCAGTAAGTCCTCCCATTGGACATACACCAGTGCCGCCCAGGCACTCATCCGTCAGCTCTGCTCTTTAGCTATTGGAGCTGCATGGATGAGGGTAGAATGAATGTGTGTGTGACTGGAAAGAGTGAAGTACTTCCACAAGTACCTGGCCTGGCAAAAAGGCTGTTATAACAATGGAGACTGGGCGGCAAAACACAATACAAATGAAATGAAAACTAACAGTTCTTACAAAGAACTTAAGTGCAGCAGCTCTACAATTGAAAATGCTGCTAAAACCCCTTCCAGGTTCAAAGGTGTGCAATTGGTCCGAGATGGAGTCTGAGGAGATGCGACCTATGACTGCCAGATATTGCTGATGAATCCCTCATGGTATCCCCGAAACAATCCAATAATCCTACCCACCCAGCAATTAAGTAGACCAGCAGAGATGTCATAAAGTACCTATTACTGCAGCTTGCAGCTCGGACCTCCTACCTACCTTTAAATCACTCAAAGCTCATTGCTGGGATGAATAGCACATATTCATTCAGAGGCCACTGACTGAAACTGACTGAAACCTATATAAGCTTACTCACGACTGACAATCATATCATCAAGGGACCACACATCAATGAAAGACATCACGTTTTCAACTGAGTACAAAACATGAATAATCATGAGTAATACACGAATATGACAACACATCACATCGACATAGTACCCAAGGCCATCTATAGATAGTACCTGAACCAGCCCACGTGCCACCATTGATACATTTGTGAATGAACGTATAGTTACGTAAGGCGTATATATCTTTCCCGAGCGAAAAAAACAAACATTCCAGTTTTTTGGCGCTTTTGTTTCAATTGTGGTGGTTCTGTTCGAAGGCCTATACAGATGGTGTTTGCGCAAAATTTCTAACGGAAAATCACCGACTATTTAGTGTCGACAGCTGCATATTAACTTTTTGAACACGCCTTCATCACTGCTTGTTTATTGGCTGTCTGTGGTATTGGGCTGTGTGGCTGTAGGTATATACCGTGTGTTGCTGGGTGATTGTGATAATATTTTGATGATTAACCTTTTCATTCAGCGGTAGAGACCCACAAGTTGACTCCATTATAAATATTGTCTCTTTATCATGAAACAGACTCAGAAACCTTGGCATGAATGCTCTCAGGCTCTCAAGAGAATGTTGAAATTCAGGTCTCAAAAGATTAAAATTACAATAATGAAATGTTTCACCTACCTTCCAAGCCATAAACACTCATACTGGTACTGGATGGAACTTAAAATAAAAAACAGGGGTGGATAATTAGGGGTTTGAAGCACCCCCTGGGATTTTCCACCAATGAAGTACCTACCTGTATGCTGCAGAGACCAGGGCCCTGTTTCACCGTTGATAGCAGCACGCTACTATCAAATTGCGCGAGCTGACGTAATGTGATGAGGTCACACTAATGACGTTTCGTGTAATCCGTGAGCTGCGTTTGGAACAGAGTTGCTGTTTCGTTGAATGCGATGTGTTTGATCGCACGGCCGTGAAGCTGTTGGCAGCAATATTTGATGACATCACACAGATTGACGGTGTCATGGTTTGCTGATGTTTCCATGGAAACCCAATTTGACACGTGTGATAGCAGCGTGCTGCTATCACCGGTGAAACAGGGCCCAGAATAGCATGGTCTGTGTTGCACATATTGATGCTGAAGCTATACCTACCTACCTATCAAATGTCTTTCAGATAACCTACCGAGTGTTCACATTCATCACAAATGCAGTCATTCTCCGGTATATTACATCTGATGTCCTGGGCATCATCAATGTCAGGTATGCACCCTTTACTTTTTTCCTATCATGCATCAGTGATGCATCCAATGTCTGAGTTCCTAAGTAGAACATATGCTATTTTCTCACCAGAACTGTAGTGTGTACTCCATAAGAAAAATGCTAATTTTTCGTATGTTTCTAGTTGAACAGAGTTTGCTCTTATTTTCTAGTTATTGTATAAAATGAAGTAATATACGGTTATCTTCATAAGCATGTACCGAATTACCTGTTCCTTTTGACTGACATTCAGTTCTTTATTTAAGTGTAGTTTTAAAGTAGGTAAATCAATTCTGTTCAAAGTTCTGAAGCCCTAGTCTGCTTCCCAGGCTGGCTCTACTCTACTCGACTGACACCTTTGTCAGTGTGGAGGCTTTCCGTCGGGCGGCGCTGGGCGTGACAGAGAGCAGCACGTGGCGCCAGGCCATCAACTTGGTGTGGCTCAGGTACATCGTTCCGGTCCGGACATCAGTTTAACTCGAAATGGTCACAGCTGTTGGGAGAAGCTGCATATCGGCAGTTCCCAGCAAGAACATCCCAAGTGTTAAATTTTCGAAACTGTGATTTTCATACCATTCGACTCAGCTCGACGAGCTGAGTCGAATGGTATAGAAATCTCAATTTCAAAAATTTGACACTTAGGATGTGCTTGCTGGGAACTGTCGATATAGGTACCTACTTCAAAAACAGGTGTTGTTGTGGAATGTGGACTGTGGAGGCAGTCAATGGGTAGCAGCTAATCGGCACAGTTCTGTTGAGTAGTAGTGGTTTTAAATGGTCATTGCCTCGATAAATGACGTTTATTTCTTCAGATGTGGGGATCGTCATAGGCACATAAGTATGTAATGTTTTATTGCCAGTGAATTGAGTGTATTATAAAAGAGCAGTGTTGTAATTGCCTCTGACTGACGCCCCGCTCCCCTGTTAGCGTGCCCGTGTCAGCGGCGGTGTCGGCGGCGCTGGCCGGCCTCTGGCTGCACGCGCTCAGCCAGCCGGCGCCCGAGGTGACCTCAGAGTACCGTCTGGGCGTGTGGGTCACCGCGGCCATGGTTGTACTGGAGACGGCCGCCCAGCCGCTGGTCATCCTGGCGCAGGCCATGCTCTTTGTCAAATTGAAGGTGAATGACGGCGGTGGGGTGACGCAGAGGAGAGGAACAGGGTGTCAGGGGAAAATATTTGAGGCGCGTCGGTTCCCCGATGACTCTGCTCGACTGCTATATGCTCGATGACTCTGCTATATCAGTGAAATTATATCCGAAGCTCAAATCGCCTGCTGCGACAGTCGTTTGCGGATCGTCGATCGTTCACACCGCGTTAATGTACTGTATTCTCCCTACCTTGCTGGCATATGTGGATTATCTCTGACTCTCTTATCGTCTTCTCGCCCCTCCCCATCTCCTCTCACCACTCTCTCACCCACCCGCTCTCCCTCTCTCCCAAGGTGGTAGCCGACATGGTCACTCTGTGCAGTCGGGTGGCGCTCAAAGCCTGGCTGATCGCCCTGTACCCGTCCCACGCCATCTGGGCCTACTGTGTGGGCCACGCGGTCAGCTCCGCTCTCCTCGTGGTCATCTATTACGGCACCCTGCTCTGGCACGTCCGCTCACCGGATAACTGTCTACCGGTGAAGTCGGCGAGCGAGCTGGGACCCAGACTGGTGCCGGGACAGGTGAGGCCAGTGAACTACATATTTGTAAAGGGGCGGGGTTTCAAATGTAGTCAAGCGTTTTCGCGGTCATAGTGGTTTCTTTTGGCCAAGTCGTCGCATTCTTCGTTTCATTTAGCTAGAACTTTAGGTCTAAGGCCTCTTAGACTGCAGTCAAACGGTATTAAGACCTACCTGTGTTACAGACAGCTCACGGCAGCGCTGGTTCGAGTATCCTCAGAAATAGAGCCAAAGTTGTGCTGCCACGTTTTCCCAGCAACCGCGTCTGCCTCTAACATTTCCTGTCGCGACGGTGGCGATGTGACCCGTGCTGCCATCTCTCTTCACTGATCAGTAATACCTCTCCACAAGTAAGCACACACTCCTCTGATATTAGCCAATTATACTCGTAGCTACTCTTCATCTCCGCTATAAGTCCTTACTGCCAGTCGTTGTGATCTTCATCTTGGTGTCTTTTTTTGTCATTCGGTTTGTTTTGTTGCCCAGCTTCTATCCTTCTGGCCATCTCTCCCCTTCTCGCCAGTCACTGGAAGGGGACAGTTTGGCACCTCTCCTCCAGCTGGTGCCTGACAGCTCCCTCCCCCTCCAGCCGGTGTCTGCGGTGGCGGGCCGGGTGCTACACGACCTACTCCGCGCTATGAGTCTGACCCTACCCCCTCTTCCTCCAGCCGGTGTCTGCCGCGGGGGGCCGGGTTCTGCACGACCTGCTGCGCGCCATGAGCCTGCTCTGTCTGGTTGCCGTCACGTTCGGCTGGAGCTACTCCCACCTGCTGCTGCGGCTGTACGGAGGCGCCCTGCTGACCGCCGGTCCGGCCGTCAGTCTGCTGCGCGCCCAGTGCGCCTACGTGCTCCTACTGGCGGTGAACGGAGTGCTGGAGTGCTACACGTTCGCAGTGATGCGCCAGGAACAGATCAATGGGTAAGTGCCGTGGAGGGTTTATGGAAGGCAGTCGGGAAATGGTCGGGGCTTAGTAAGGAGTGAGGTAAATTAGTCGGTAGAGGCTGAGCGGATTAGGAAATGACGTTCTCATGTTGGTTTTTGTTGTTAGACTGCCTTTTGCGGCTAAAGGCGAAGTGGAAAGGCTGGCCAGTCGTGTCGATAAAGTGAAGCTAGGAACGTTACTATCGGGCGCTTTGACAGGTGTTGTGGCGTTTTCCGGTGTTTCAGGTATAACCGGAAGATGGTGCTGCTATCTGTGATATTCGTCATCTCGACAGGGATCTTTACTAGGCTATTCGGCGGGGTTGGATTGATCCTCGCCAACTGCGTCAATATGCTGACCAGGATATACGTTTGGTGAGTTTTTGTGTTTTTGAATAGATTTGATTTGTCCTAATTGGTCTAATTATTTACATCATTATCCAATCTGTCATGGATAGTCAATATCACGCTTTATTCGCCGATCTCGATATACTTGGATCTCGTTACTTCACCCGTCCATCGACTGATACGAATGTCTGCTGTCCCCAATAGTGTCCTGTACCCCTCTCAATTCTCATCCCGTGCCCTCCCCGTATGCTGCTGGTTCCCGATACAGTGTCCCGTGCCACTCTCAACCATCATGTCTTCGTCCCATTTTCTGCTGCTGCTGCCCGCTCGCCCCGTCCAGTGTGTTGCTGGCGCTTGATGCAGTGTCCCGTACCCCTTTCACCCTGTCCCCACCCCGTGTGTCGCTGATGCCCGATACAGTGTCCCGTACCTCTCTCGTATGTATGTATTGTATGTATTACCTTCATGGACAATCCACGCGGGGCGTGGCGATTACAGTCCGATTACTCTCACCCTGTCCCCGCCCCGTGTGTCGCCAGTTACCGGTTCGTGGCCGGTCTGCCGCTGGAGCCGGCGGTGTCCGTGCCGCCGCTGCTCGGTCTCCGCCCGCCGCCCGCCGTGGCTGCCGCGCTGGTGACCGCCGGCCTGCTGGCAGCCGGCTCCGAGAGCTGGCTGTATAGTCTCTCTTGAAAGTATCGCGTCCTGGGCTGCGGCGGCTCAGCGAACTATTCCATTCAGTTTGAGGACCCCAGTAGGGAGGTCATGGCCTGTATCATAAAAAGTACGCTGTAACACGATTTCACGCCAGCGGTAGAAGGAAAATTGCTATATGACGCAGGCCCCAGCGGCTGACAACTGGGTCAAAACAGGCGGAGGCCGGCCAAAGGTCATGCTCGTATCGCTCTCCCTTGACCCCGTCCACCGCCCCAGGCGGATACCGGTGCCTCTTGGGCTCACCAGCCGGACGCTCATTGGTGTGCCTTTCTGGGCGCCAATCACTCAGTGTGCGTGACGCGTAAAATCACAACGAAGCGAAGTTCCGCCATAACCCCAGTGGCGGATCCAGGGGAGGGCAAATAGGGCAATTGCCCTCCACAAAGGACATCATTTTTAACATTACGTCTATGGCAGTGCATGAAAAGAGACAATAAATTGTGATGGTTTGCCCCTCCCAAAACTTTGGGTTGGATCCGCCTATACATAACCCTTACTGTAATGAGGCCTTCTGAATGACGTAAACAGGTCATGCGGGGTGTGGGGGGGGGGGAGGAAGCCTGGCATCAAATAAGTTTTTAAAAAGAACATGGCTGAACAGCATTATTTTTTCTTTTTTGTCGCCGTTCGTTAACCGGCTCATTAAAAAGAGAGAACTTCAAATATAAGACTAAATGGCTAGACAGCGAATTGGCGAACTGGCTAGAGAGATAATTCTTGTTTTTGAATCCGCTTACGAGTGCATGTGCAAGCACGGATGCATTCTGTTAGCGGGTGCAACAGATGATTTTTTAGGTATATGCGCACGAGTTTCCGGATTTTACCCCCCCCCAAAAAAAAAAAATGTGACAGTCGTGCCGATGACGAGTCAAATTGCTAACTTTGCAATGAAACAAATCTCAACAAATCCTCTGCGAGTAGGGTGGCCTCCGTTGACCACATGCTTAGCTACCATCACAAGTAACCGGATGGCGACTGCCACCCCCCCCCCCCATCCCTCCGCAGTCCGCAACCACTTCCCTCGGCCCGCTGCGCCGGCTGCCTCCGCGTGTCAGGCTTCGGTCAGTGCTACCAGCGCGGCGGCTCTCAAACCTTTCCGCTCAACCGCGGCTGGGACAGGTGGCGCCTTCCTTCGGAGTCGCGATACTTTCAAGAGAGACTATACCCCAGCTCCGCCGCCGCCCATGTGGCTGTGGGCGCGCTCTGTGGGGCCGCCGTGGTGGCCGCGGCAGTGTACAGCGAGCCCCGCCTCCTCCAGGCGGTCAAGGAGCGGGTCGGGGATAAACTGAAGCGCAGCTAGCGGGGAGTGCTACTCACATGGTCACGCAGGGAATAGGGGTTGTTTTGTTGTGATATTTATGTGCATTTTGGGTTGAATATACACCGTGCCTGTCAGTAGAGTGGATCTATTAATTTTAAGACTGGTGCGACTGCAGGGGGCGTTGAGGCTATCGGCCATTTGAGAGCTGGACAGTGCTTGAAAGCAACTTCCTACCGATGAATTTTGGCATTCAGATCCTAATTATAGCCATTTGTGATGAACGATGGCGATGCAGGGGACGGCAGGGGAGGTGAAGGGATGGCACCTCCCTGGAGCTTATGGTAATCGCGGAAGCCCATTACCGTTTACCACCACTGCATAGCCAAAGTGGTAAGACCGGAGAGACGCGATCAGGCCGGATTGCCAGTTGTCGATTCCTCTATCGTTGTAGAGGTCGCTTGCAAAGTGAGATGACTGCTTTTCGTAGAGGGCGGTAAAATCGTGGCCGGTTAGCGTCTGGTGGGGCTTGTAGGCTAATGATGGGCACGACCGGGTGCTGTATGCTATGTGTGGTGACAGCGGCGTTCCTGAGCGTAGGGTGTATCTCTTGCTCTGAAGTCCAGAAGTCCTTATCGTTCTTGTGCATTCACTTTGTCAGTGCCTGATGTCAGTGTCAGTGTTTGTCAGTGTTTCATTCTGTAGCAGACATGCAGTCATATTTGGTTAAATAGAACCTTGCAGTCTGAGGCAGTCTTTTCATTACAGTACCTCATTACAGCGTCTCATTCATTACAGTTCAATATTTAGAAATGCAAGACATTACACATTAGGGCCGATCGGGCATAGAAATACAAAACAACAGTATACGCTCGCTGGCTATTATTCTGAGACTCAGCATTGAACCTGCCATCACTACAATACAGGAGGCGACAGGTGTAGAGGTGATGTCATACTCATTTATCAAGTTCTGCTGACTTGACCCACAAGTTGACTCCATTATAAATATTGTCTCTTTATCATGAAACAGACTCAGAAACCTTGGCATGAATGCTCTCAGGCTCTCAAGAGAATGTTGAAACTCAGGTCTCAAAAGATTAAAATTACAATAATGAAATGTTTCACCTACCTGACCTTCCATTGCCATAAACACTCATACTGGTACTGGATGGAACTTAAAATAAAACAGGGGTGGATAATTAGGGGTTTGTAGCACCCCCTGGGATTTTCAGAATTCTCTACCGCTGAATAAAAAGGTTAATCATCAAAATATTATCACAATCACCCAGCAACACACGGTATATACCTACAGCCACACAGCCCAATACCACAGACAGCCAATAAACAAGCAGTGATGGAGGCGTGTTCAAAAAGTTAATATGCAGCTGTCGACACTAAATAGTCGGTGATTTTCCGTTAGAAATTTTGCGCAAACACCATCTGTATGGGCCTTCTAACAGAACCACCACAATTGAAACAAAAGCGCCAAAAAACTGGAATGTTTGTTTTTTTCGCTCGGGAAAGATATATACGCTTACGTAAGACGTAACTCATGATTACTATAGTGGTGTTGAGATGGCGTGAGTGTGTGGTTGCAGCCAGGGGTCACTGCGGAGGTATTGAAAATTGGATAAAATTCCGAATACGTTTTATTTTCTTATTGCAATGAAATAGTATATACAACTTTATTCAACAGTTTTGTCAAATGTAAATACTATGGGCATGATCTTGACTCCCCCACCGGTATCACCTCTTTCTTTCTTCTTTTAGCTGTATACTCACCCAGCTTTATCCAAAGCCACTGTGCTGGATTTGTTGCTGGATGAGCTATACTAGCCACTGTAAGTTCAATCCTCTCAGTAGAGAGCTTGCTGAAAATGGAGTTGACTTTGAGAGGTATGTTTCACTTGAGCAATGTTCATACCATACCTTGCAATCTGTAAATCAAGCTAAAAAGTCTGAGTCATACCATTCGAAAGCTTTTCTTGACCTTCTACATGTTAACGCACGTAGCCTAACCAGGAACATTGATGCTATTTTAAGCCTCTTAAATGGTCTTGAAAATAAAGTGACTTGTATTCTTGTATCAGAAACATGGTTGAATGACAGCAAGGCTGCTCCTGCTATAGCAGAATATACATTTGTGGGAACAAATAGAGAAGGCAGAACTGGGGGAGGAACTGGATTATATGTGCTAACAGAAATCCCGTACAGACTCAGGAATGATCTCTGTATGAGATATTTCAATTTGGTTGATCATATTTTTGTCATTGTTGACTCAACAATGCTGCTTTGACTTGTGCTCATGTCAGTGTAGTCAATGTGGCGTGTGGTCAGCGCCAGTAGGTCCAGCTGGAAAGTCATTTGGATTAAGTCCAGATTAAGTCCAGGACGCACGTGACTGGACTGCAACTTGGACTGCACGGCCTGGCAACCTGCATGCGCCTGCTTCATCTGCACTGCACATCAACTCACCGGTGGGGCATACCGAGACCGAGCAGCCTCCTTGTCCCTACCTTCTGCATGCCTCTGCTTCTCTTCCGCATTGCCTGCCATTGCCCGGGTCCTTTTATACGCACCGTGTCTGAGTCATGGCTCGGGGTCGTGTTCGTGGTGGTCGTGGTGGGCGAGGCAGGGGTGGAGCAACTGCAGGTGACGGCCAAAGCATTGCTGGCCCGTCTCAGGGGACTGATGGCACTCAACCCGTGAATGCTGAGGTGGCCCGGAGCGAGGGACCTGGTGCTGCCAAACCTCTTCAAAATGCATGTACACCAGCGGGGGAGGCTCCCAAGGATGCCAGTTCGAGTGTCTGTGGCATGTGTGATAGGGTGGTTGGTGATTCTGCTATAGGATGTGACAGATGCAGTGACTGGTTCTGTCCGTCTGAAATGTGCACAGGTCTGCCTGAAAATGCCATCGCTTTGATCTCCTCCCTGCGGGAGGAGAACTCTGTGTTGTTTGTCTGCACTGGGTGTCGTGTGAACCCTGGACCAGGCACATGGACTGAGGCAGCTGCTCGCAAAAAAAGGGGAGGTGAAAATGAAAGTATTAAACAGCTTTACATGACTGTCAAAGGCCTTACTGCTGAGATGGCCAAACTCACGGCAAAGCTGGAGGGTGCTATCTCTCAGGGTTCACTCAGCTATGCTGGGGTTGTCTCACAGCCCGGGTCTCGGCCTCAGCAGGGTGAGCAGCAGCATGGGGGCTCAGACGGGGAGGGCTCAAGTGCACAGAGGCGCACACAGGACACAGACATTCATCCAGAGTATAGAACTGTGGTAAGACAAGAAATCAGGGAGTTGCGGGAAAGAGAAAAACGTCGACTTTCACTGGTCATCAGGGGCCTAGAGTCCAACTCCCCAGCTGGGGTGATAGCTGAGTTTGGAGATGTGACATCTACCATGATGGGCACCAGAGTAACTCTATCTGAAGTGGTCAAGATCCCAAATAATGCAGGGCTATGGCGGGCAAAGGTCCTAAATGTAGAGCATAGGGAGCTAGTTCAGGAGAAATCCAAGAATCTCAAGGGGTCTCAATATGACCACATCTTCATCAGAAAGGATCTGACATTCACACAGAGAATGGAGCTAAAACAAAGGCGGGAGGGCCAGGGTCGGAGAGATGCCACAAGGGTGTTCAGGCCTTCTCACAACACCACAGTGCCTTCAGCACCTTCAGCCCCCCCACCTGCTCCGAACCAATCACTTGGAGCTAGTACTGATGTGGCTGCTGACACAGTGACTGAGGTTTCAACTCCTGCTGCTCCCTCTCAGGCCCTTGATGCCCCAACTGCAGTGCTTAGTGGTGGTGAGGGTGACTCACACCACAGAGCACCAGCCCCTGCCACTCCCACATCCCCATCAGGGAATGCTCAGGTAAACTGAGTGGCCTGACACCTGTGTCACGACATTTTGTTTTGAAGTGCTGCACAGTAAATGTTAAAGGTTTGAGCACTAAAATGGACTCTGTAATAAACTTTATTGAGAAAAATAATATTATGGTATTGTGTATTACAGAGTCCCATTTAACATCAGCTGTAGCCAGTTCTTTTGTTAAGGTTCCTCATTTCAATTTGATAAGAAGTGATGTCAAAGGCCATGTACACAAACATGGAGTTTGTGCTTTTGTACATGAAGATATACTAATTGATAAGGTCAGTTATCCAATGTCAAATGCTTTATTATTCCGTCTGGCCAAGTATGATGTTTATTTTCTCGTGGTCTATCGGCCACCTTCGTACTCAGCTGCAGAAAATGATGAACTTGCATGCGTGCTGCAGGAAGTCATTTCTGGAAAGGAAATGATTATACTAGGGGATTTTAACCTTCCTAACATAGAATGGACATCACAGATAATCTCATCGAATCATATGCCTCCTTTGGATTCCATGTTCTTGGATGTTTTTACATCCTGCGGCTTGGTGCAGTGGGTGTCAGTGCCGACATTCCCCAGTTCAGGAAATACTTTGGACCTTCTATTGACAACGGAGAAGGACAGGGTGGGGAGGGTTGACGCTGTTGAACCGCTGCCAACTTGCGACCACTGCCCAGTGCTCTTTGATTATGTGTTTGAAGGGGATCATGCTGATAGAGCTGCTGTTGGCCAGGAAAATTTTGCTTGGCACAGAGGTAACTATCTCAGACTGAATGCCATGTTTTCTGAGGTTGACTGGAGGTTTGAACTTACTCATCTAAATGCTTGTAGTTCTTTTGATAAGTTTGCAAGTATCGTCCAAACCAGTATCAAAGAATGCATTCCTCGTAAGAAAGTACAAGCAAAAGACAAGCCACCATGGCGAACAATTCCGCCTCCCAGCCTGATCAGAGTTAAACAAAAGGCGTGGGCAAAATATAAAAGGGCGAGACTGCGCAGTGGGCGCAAGTCTTCAGCAGCAATGGAGGCCTTTTCATCATTTGCTACTATTAATAAGGATTTGAGGTGTTTTGAAGTCAAGTCACGTGCGCAGTATGAGAATGGCCTCATTGACAGGTTCAAGGAAAACCCTAAGCTCCTCCATTCATACATTAGCAGTAAAAAATCTAATCCTTCATCGGTGGGCCCTCTTAGGCTCCCAAGTGGAGAGCTCTGCTCTGACCCATTAGCCATGGCCGAATGTTTAGCCTCGTCCTTTTCATCCGTGTTTTGCAAAGTTGTCCCAACACGTCAAGAGCCACATCAGGTACATGATGAACACATTGACCCTGTAAATGTGTCTGTTGAAGGTGTTGAAGCAAGGCTGTTATCACTTGATTCTAGTACTGCCATGGGGCCTGATGGTATTCACCCTCTGGTGTTGAAAAATTGTGCTAAACAGCTAGCCCGCCCTCTGAGCGTAATCTTCAAGCGCTCCCTGGGCGAGGGTTTGGTTCCCAAGGCATGGAAAAGGTCAGTGGTAATACCCATTTTCAAGAAAGGTCACAGATTTGTCCCGCTTAACTATAGACCTGTGAGTCTTACTCCTATATGCTGTAAAACTCTCGAGCACTTGATTGCTGATCATCTGATGGACTACCTGAGTGAACACAACATATTGTCCCACCACCAGTTTGGTTTTAGACGGGGAAGATCAACGGTTGAGCAATTGCTTCTGGTATATGAGGAAATCTACAGATTGGTTGACTCAGGGAAGACAGTGGACCTCATCTTGTTTGACTACAGTAAGGCCTTTGACAAAGTCTGTCATAAAATCCTGCTTGACAAGCTGAAATCTATTGGTATTGATGGGAAACTCTTAAAGTGGATCGCCAGTTTCTTGGAAGGACGGGAAATGCAGGTTGCTGTAAAAGGTCAGCTCAGTAGCTACAGACCAGTTAAAAGCGGGGTCCCTCAAGGTTCTGTGCTTGGTCCATTGTTATTTCTTATATATATAAACCATATCGGCTCGAATTTAACTTCTAGTTATAAGATCTTCGCTGATGACTTGAAGCTATATGCATGTGTTAATCCACCTATGTCAGATGCTTGTCCTGGTGCTGCTCAATCCATTCAAACAGATATTTGCACACTGCACCGTACATCCGAGTCTTGGGGGTTGACTTTAAACAGAGACAAATGTGCTGTGTTGCGCTTCACTCGTAATTCTAGAGAGCAGGCTCCTCCAGAGTACTTTTTGGATGGCAGCCCTTTACCGACCCACAAGGCTCATGGCGACCTAGGCTTGCTGGTAGACGACAGGCTCAAATTTCATGAACATGTATCTTCTGTTTCGCACAAAGCATTTGGACTTTGTCAGAGCTTCTTAACCCATTAATGCCGGAATTTTTATTTTTTGATTCTTTAGTTGTCCTTAACAGATGTTAGCCACATGGGTCCCAGTAAGAAAACTGTGCAAGCTTAAAAAATTTGCTCCATCGGTTCTCAAGTTATAAGTATGGGTCATAAATGACCCAACCGGCATTGGCATAGTCACAAATAAGGAGTTATCACGAAAACCGATTTAGCTAGATACCTTATTGTGTATACTGTATAGCGGTCTCAGCCAAACAATATTAAGAGGCACTGCATTGCAATGCTTTGCAACGTCTCATTGACGAGGCCGTTGGTGCCGCTGGCAGGCCTGTGGTGCCCCTGTTAGGCCTCTGGTGCTCCAGAGGGGACACCATAGGCCTGACGGGCCTGTGGTGTCTCTGGAAGGACTGTGGCGCCCCTGGGCCCTGGCAAGCCTGAGGTGCCCCTGACAGGCTTGTGGAGCCCCTGACAGGTCTGTGGTGCCATTGCTAGGTTTGTGGTGCCCCTGGCAGGCCTGTGGTGCCCCTGACGGGCCTGTGGTGCTCCTGCTAGGCCGCTGGTGCCCCTGGGTCCTGGCAGGACTGTGGTGCCCCTGACAAGCCTGAAGTGCTACCGACAGGCCCGTGGAGCCCTTTACAAGCCCAAGGTGCACGTGCGAGGCTGGTGGTGCCCCTGTGAGGTCGATGGTGCCCCTGACAGGTCTCTGGCTGGTGCCCCTGGAAGGACTGTGGTGCCCCCTGACAGACCTGTGGTGCTCTTGCTAGGCCGATGGTGCTCCTGCAGGCCTGTGGTGCCCCTAACAAGCCTGTGGTACCCCTGACAGGCCCGTGGTGCCCCTCGGCCGGCCGAGTCGCCGGCCCGCCCCGCGTCACGGCCCCGGACAACCGGTCCGCTCATGATATCCCAACATCGCAACACTAGGCCTGTGGTGCCCCTGATAGGTCGGTGGTGCCCCCGGGTCCCAGGGGAGGTCATGAGTGACCCATATGACCCCCTCCTTTGGATCCGCCACTGTGATCTGATCACAACGCCCAGAAATAAATAATCGTATAATCATCAATTGCTTCCCTTGCATTCAACATACGAGAAAATTGACAACACTATTGCCGGCTGGGTCATTTATGACCCAAGGATATTTATCGAGGAAAAAAAGTTATCCGATGGCGACAAGAAGCGCAAAAATATACATCATGTCTTTTTCAGACAAATTTAGATGCCAGGTGGACGATCATTCAATAGATAGTAAAGTGCAAACATAACATAATATTACTTTTTGGGACGGCGCGCCATTGCCAGTGACCGGCGGCTGTGCAGTCCCGTCGTCTTTGGCTCCAGAAACTTCAGTGGACGAGCTCACACGAGTTTTATGCGGCTCCGACGCTCGTCGCTGAACCCACAAATCCAACAAAACACACGCACAAGTTCCTCATAGTGCCACTTTCCTCCATTTAGAAAAAATGTTAAGATGTTGCTTTTGGGTCATATATGACCCAAGCGGCATTAATGGGTTAAAGTCAACTGTGTGCCGAACACCTGAATTTATGATGTTTTTGCTTACAACACATGTCAGACCGTTGATAGAATATGCGTCATGTTTATGGAACACCGGGTACAAAGAGGATCTCAGGAAACTTGAACGGGTACAGCGCATGTGGACTAGGAATATCAGAGGTCTCGAGGGATTGTCCTATGGAGAGAGGCTGAGTGAACTGAACTTGTACTCAGTGCAAGGTAGGCTCTTGAGAGCTGATCTAATCCAATATTGGAAAATATTCCATGATCTTAGCTGTATTAAGCCTGAGGATATGTTCACTCGGCCTCCTCATAGTGGCACTAGAGGGCATCGCTTCAAAATCCATGTAACACGAGCGGTCTCAGATGTGCGCAAGCGATGTTTTTCACACAGAAGCGTAGCCCTCTGGAACGGACTGCCTGATAATGTAGTAGCCGCAGGAAGCCTGAGCACCTTCAAAACTGCATTGTCTCGAGCGATACATGATGACCTGTACAAGTTTGCTGAGTGAGTTCCAACTCACTCAACTCACTTCAACGACTTGTTAAAAGCATTTATTATCAGGAAATCAGTGATTGTTCTACACAGACATGTTACCAGTGGACACATCAAATCCAGTTAAACCACAGCGACAGACGACGGGCAATGTTTGTTGGTGAACTGGCGTGTCCTTTGATCATGGGTTCCCATCATGTCTACTACCATATCCTTATGGCTGATAGGCAAGGAGAACCCTACCAGGTGAGAGAACCAGGTGAGAGAGTGGTAAACTGGAAGCAACTTTCATTGAAATAATATCACCAGAAAAGAATATTCTAGTAGGGTCAGCCTATAGAGCACCAAATGTAAGCTCTCAAGAATTTGTTGATGCCCTGGAGCAATTGTTAGAAAAAATTACAGCAGAAAACAAGACAATTTTTCTAGGTGGGGACTTCAATGAAAATCTATTAAACTTTAATAAAGCTAGCCAGGTCAATCAATTTATAGATAAACTTATCTCAAACAAGTTGATCCCAACTATCAGTAAGCCTACTAGAATCACTACTGAGACAGAGTCACTCCTGGATAACATCTACACCAGCTCAGACTGTAGTGTTATGGAACCCGAACATATCTGTTGTATACAATGGCCAGGTGGAACGTAAACTGTATTTTACACAAAATGGCGGAGTCACGTGAGGTCATGTGAAAAGCACTAAACAACTGCCATAGCGAACACTACACCCGCCGGCCCTTGAAGTTACACTTCTCGCCGATCACGTAAATCGGCGCGGCAAGAATCGGCGGCGTCCTCGGGAGGAGGCCGGCAACTCACGGCGCGGGGTGCCGCCGACGGGCGCCCTCTGAGGCGGGCGCGGCCCACCGGGGGACCGGTCACGAGCAGCGCCGGTGGCGGCCGGCAGCGCAACGTCAGCGACATCTGACGGGCGGGCGCTCTCTGTCGGCGCTGTAGGTGGCACGGTGGACGCTGTCGGCTGCGGCGATGGCGGCTGGGGCTCGCCGGAGCTCGGAGGAGCCGGGTCGGCCGGCGGCGGCGGCGGCGGTTCCGGCCCGTCGGTGCTCGGAGGTGCTGAGCCGGTCGGCGCCGCGTCTGGGATGCGGGCGAGGTGTGCAGCGTTCCTCTTTGTCCCGTCGGACAGGATGAAGGTCGCCGGGCCGAGCTGTCTGGCGATTCGGCGCGGGCTGGAGAACCGACTCTGGTTCTTGGGCACGTGCCCCTGTCGCCGCACGCGCACCGTGTCGCCAGGCTGGAGATCTGACGGCCGGGCAGCCTGTCGCGAGTCGTACCCGCGGCTGTTGCGCTGCTGCTGGGTAGCGACTCGGTGCTGTAGCGAGCTGTCGCGCGGCGGAGTCTCTGTGGTGACCGGCAGGTGCAGACGCATGCGCCGGCCGTGCAGGAGCGCCGAGGGTGACTGGCCGGTGGTGCAGTGCGGGGTCGCTCGGTACAGAGCGAGGCGCTGTCGCACGTGTCCGCTGAAGCTGGCGGCCGTCCGCGACTGCAGCTGTGTGGCCTCCTTGAGCCACACCTTCACCTCTCGGTTGAGCCGCTCCACTGCTCCGTTTCCGCGCGGCCAGTAGACGGCAGACGTGTGGTGTCTGATACCGCGCTGGGCCAGATACTGTCGGAACTTGTCGCTGGTGAACTGGGGTCCGTTGTCTGTCACCAGCTCGTCAGACAGTCCCTCTCTGGACCAGGCCTGGCTCAGGAACTGGATGACGTCATCAGTCTCGATGGATGACGTCAGAGCGACCTCTGGCCACTTACTATGGTAATCCGTCATAGTAATGGCGTACTTTGCAGACGGTGGGGCGCCGGGGATCGGGCCCACGATGTCCAGTCCGAGCTTAGACCAGGGCCGGTCTGGAAGCTCGACCGGTTGCAGCGGCGCGGGGCGCGCCTGCTGCGTCAGCACGGCGTCCTTTGCGTGGCAGGACGGGCAGTCGGCGACCAGTGCAGCGGCGTCCTTCGACATTCCAGGCCACCAGGCAAGGTCGCGCAGGAGCTGCTTTGTTCGCACGACACCGTCGTGCGCTCGGTGCGCCAGTTGGAGGTACTTTGAGCGGAGCGCGGCCGGGACGACGGCGCGGTCCGGGCCGCGCAGCACGACTCCGTCCTGGCGGACTTGCAGCTCGTGCCGCACGGCGAAGTAGTCGCGCGTCTCCGGCGTGCAGTGGCGCGCGGCGTCGGGCCAGCCGGTGCGGATGACAGACCGCAGCTGCTCCATGACTGGATCGGCGGCCGACGCGGCGCATACGTCGTCATGTGGCTGGTGCCGTGGCGAGTCGTGCTCTAAGCCGGATGAAGCCGTTCCAGTGTTTGGGATTCGCAACTTGGGATTCCACACAACGACGGGCTGGGAAGTTCCCTGATGTGGAGCCGTCTCCCCCAAACACTTAGATCGGCCAAGGATAGCGATGTATTTGAAACAGCATGAGCAAGCTATGTAGTGAACACAGCGATGAAACCATAGTTCGTTTTGGCAAAGTTAAGGACAGTACAAAGCAGTGAGAAAACGTATATCAGAGCGAGAGATACTTTCTAGAAGAGTGCGTGAATGCCCACACGACGATGAACATTATGATACATACACACGAACATACATTTCTAAAACATGAATAAATCGGACATAGAAAATGAACAAGTGGAGCAGAGCCATCTGGCGGATATCGCTGAACCTGCGCCTCGCGTCAGCTGCGACAGCAGCGCCACGTTGAGGTCGACGGTGGCGCCGCCCCGCGTCGGAGCGCTTGCCAGTCGCCAGCGGCGGTAGTGCCGCGCCGCGTCGGAGAACGTGCGGCGGTGCACTACATCACCCTCCCCCTAGAGACGGCACTGCGAACGTGACGTTAAGAAAACGCGTTGGTGGCCGTACAGCACGGCCGGAGCGGGTCGTCCGTAGGCACGGCGGTGGGGGCGCGGGCGGAGGCGGCGGCTGTAGCGGCAGGTCGCCACGCGGTGGCGGAAGCGGCGGCCTCGGTGCGCGAGGCACTGGCAGGAGGAGCTCTGGGCCGGAGGCCGGTGTTGCCGAGTCGGCGGAACGCGCCGTGTCTTGGACCGCAGACGGCGATGCTGTCGGAGTTGGAGCAGGCGGGGGCCGTTCCAAGTGCGCCGGTTTGACTCGGTCGATGGAGATAACGTCTGAACGACCGCCTCGGTCCACAGTGACCGTCTTCGCCGATCTGTGTAGCACCTTGTATGGTCCGTCATAACGCGGGGCAAGCGGCGGCTTCACTGCGTCGTGGCGCACGAACACGTGCGAGGCGTGGTCCAGCGCGCGCGGCACGTACGACGGCGCGCTTGGTGCTGGTCGTGGTGCCGTCGGGCGCAGTGCCGCCATGGTGCGCTGAAGCTCGGCGGCGAATGATTCCGGCGTAGGAGGCGCGGTGGCGGACGGGGTGATGAGTTCACCAGGTAGGCGTAGAGGTGCTCCGTACACCAGCTCGGCAGTGCTGCAGCCCAGGTCTTGTTTGAGCGCCGAGCGGATTCCGAGCAGCGCCAAAGGAAGAGCCTCCGTCCAGCGGGCGGGCGCGGCGGCGCGCAGCGCGGCCTTAAGCTGCCGGTGCAGGCGCTCCACCATCCCGTTGGCCTGGGGGTGGTACGCGGTGGTCCGGCGCCGCGCGCAGCCCAGGAGAGTGGACAGCTCAGCCCAGAGCGCCGACTCGAATTGGCTGCCCCGGTCGGTGATGATCTCGTCCGGGACGCCGAACCGAGAGATCCAGCCGGAGATCAGCGCCCGGGCGACCTCTCGCGCCGAGATGCCACGCAGCGGGATCGCCTCCGGCCAGCGGCTGTACCGGTCCACCACCGTCAGAAGATACGAGTAGCCCTCAGACGGCGGCAGCGGGCCGACCAGGTCGGCGTGCACTTGTCGAAACCTGTCGGCAGGTGGCGGGAACGAGGCGGGCGGCGCTGTCGTGTGCCGGTGGACTTTGGTGCGCTGGCACGGGACGCAGGTGCGCGCCCAGAGTGCGGCGTCCTTCTTCACCGACGGCCACACGAACCGCCGCGTGACCAGGTCGACGGTGGCGCGCACTCCCGGGTGGGCCAGATCGTGCACGTGCCGGAAGTAGGCGCGCCGGAGTGGTGCCGGGATCCACGGCCGCGGTACACCCTGGGACTCGTCGATGACCAGCGTGCGGCCGCTGGGGAGCCGGGCGTCTCTGAGTTTGAGCCCGTGCTCTGTCGAGCGGAAGCGCGCCAGCTCTTCGTCCTCTTGCTGGCAGGCTGCGAGCTCGTCGAAGTCGTCGACTGGCGGGCACGGTGCTGAGAGCATCGCCACTGTTCGACTCAGAGCGTCCGCAGCTGCGTTTTCTTTCCCAGGCACGTGCCTGATGTCGGTGGTGAACTGGGAGATGAAGTCCAGGTGCCGGATCTCCCTCGGCGAGTAGCTGGCTGACCCGGACGAGACTGCCGACACGAGGGCCTTGTGGTCGGTGAAGATGGCGAACTGGCGGCCTTCCAGAGTGTGCCGGAAGTGCTTGACCGCCAGATACGCCCCGAGCAGTTCGCGGCCGAAGGTGCTGTAGCGTGTCTCTGCTGGTTGGAGTGACTTCGAGAAGAAAGCCAGCGGCGTCCAGGTCCCGTGCGAGTGTTGCTGCAGGACAGCGCCGACGCCGGTGTCAGAGGCATCGACCTGCAGACTCAGCGCTGCGCCGGGAGTGGGGTGCGCGAGCTGCGTGGCCTGAGCCAGGGCAGCCTTCACGCGTTGGAAGGCGTCCTCAGCGGTTGGCGTCCACTCCACCGGCGCCGCGCGTTTGCGTTTCTGGTCCAGCAGGTGGTGAAGCGGTCGGAGGAGGCCGGCAGCACCAGGCAGGAACCGGTGATAGTAGGTCACTAGGCCGATGAACCTACGCAGCTGGCGTTGCGTGGTCGGCTGCGGAAACTCCTGGACTGCGGCGACCTTCTCCGGCAGCGGGGCGATGCCGTCCGGGGACACATCGTGACCGAGGAAGCTGATACGGTTGACGCCCAGCACGCACTTCGTTGGGTTGATCGTGACGCCGAACTGGTCGAGACGTTCCAGTACCTGACGGAGGTGACGGCGGTGCTGCTCGACGGACGTGCTGGCGATGAGGATGTCGTCGATGTACACGTAGCAGCACGTCAGCCCGCGCATCACCTCGTCTATAAAGCGCTGGAATGTCTGACTGGCGTTGCGAAGACCGAAGCTCATCCGCTGCATCTCGAATAGCCCGAACGGTGTGACGATGGCCGTCTTCGGGATGTCAGCGGGTTCGACCGGGATCTGATGGTACGCGCGGACGAGGTCGATCTTCGAGAAGATGGTACAGCCGTGCAGGTTCGCGGAGAAGTCCTGCAGGAACGGTATGGGATACCGGTCCGGGACGGTGGCGGCGTTCAGGGCGCGGTAGTCGCCGCACGGGCGCCACTGTCCGGGCTCCTTCTTGGGCTCCATGTGGAGGGGCGACGCCCAGCTGCTCTTGGATGGGCGGGCGACCCCGAGGCTGATCAACTTGTCGAACTCCTGACGGGCGATGCGGAGGCGGTCGGGCGGCAAACGCCGAGGGTGCCCCACACGAGGAGGTCCACGTGTCACGATGTGGTGAGTGACGTTATGGCGCACGGGCAGGAGTTGCGCAGATGTGGCCGTCACTCGAGGGAACTCTCTAAACAAGTCTGCGAGAGTGGGCGCCGCGCACATGCGCACACCGACGGAGCCGATGTCGGCTCGGGTGCCCACGGCGCACGTCGTGCCGTGTTCAGCCTGGAGGAGCTGACGGCGCATGTCCACCAGCAGACAATGATGGGCGAGGAAGTCCGCTCCCAAGATCGGCATCGATACGTCGGCGACCATGAATGTCCATGGGTAGTCCACTGTTCCGAAACGCACCGAAGTCGAAATAACGCCATGGAGCTTGATCTCTGTGCCGTTGGCTGCTTCCAGTCGAGGCGCGTCGGGCGGCTGCACAGTGGTGCCGTCGGCCACGACTCGTGGTGGGACGACACTCACCTGTGCGCCGGTGTCGACGAGGAACCGCCAGTTCCGGGCAAGGTCGGTGACGTAGAAGAGGGGCGCCAGTGTCGGCCGGCCCGTCTCCGCTGGCGCTAGCGCGGACAGGCGGGCTAGTTTCCCGACCAGGAGCACGGCGGTCTGCAGCGGTGGGCCTCCGCGCCGTACTTCTGGTGGTACCAGCAGTACCCTTCATCAGGTGTCACCGATGCCGGTTGAGAACTGCCAGACGAGGCAGGTGCGGGTCGGCGCGGACGGGAGCGGGAGCGGCCACGCCGAGGAGCGTCGGCACCGCCCCGCTGGAACACGGCCTCGATGCGTGCTACCGCAGCGGTGAGGGCGGTGACGGCAGCGGCCATGCCGGAGTTACCGCACCCGCAGGCGGCGAGCGGTCCGGCGGCGGTCACTGCGCTGGCCGGCGGGGCGAGCGTGACCCCAGGGCCGGCCGGCGGGCCACAGGCGGCAGCGACGCCGGCCGTCGGCGTGCAGACAGCAGTCACGGCGGCACCGCCAGAGGCCTCCTGGAATCGGTCGGCCGCGCTGGCCAGGTCGTCAATACCAGTGTCCTCCGGCAGCAGCGCGAGGGCGGCGCGGGTCGTCGGCGGCAGGCGCTGCAGGAACAGCGTCCTGAGAAGGCCGAGGTCGTGGCCCGCGCTGCCCAGCATGTGCTGCATGCTGCGCAACAGCTGCGTGGGCTTCCTGTCGCCCAGCTGGTGGTCGCGGAGGAGTGCCTCGAGGCGTGAGGCGCGCGACTGGGCCAGGCGCGTGCTCAGGGCCCCTTTTAGTTCCGAGAACGAGCCGGTCTCGGCTGTTATCACGTCTCGAACTTGTGAAGCGACATGCACAGGCAGGTTGGCCACCAGCAGCCGGAACTTGTCGTGGTCATCCGTGATGCCGGCGACGGCGAAGGCACACTCGACCTGCACCAGCCAGAGCTCGGCTTCTTCAGGTGCGTAGGCCGGCAGCCGGAACGACGCGAATGGCCGCGTCGGCGCGTCCTGGGCGGCACTCTCCGGCTCGATGGGTGACGGCATAGTCACTATATACAGCAAACACTAACACTAGAGGCACACTGAAAGACTGTCGGTAATCACTAGGCGCTCGCCGCGCTCACTGTGCTGGCGCTCGCTGCGCTGCACTACGTTGGCGCTCGCTGCGCTGCACTGCGTTGGCGCTCGCTGCGCTGCACTGCGTTGGCGCTCGCTGCGCTGCACTGCGTTGGCGCTCGTTGCGCTGAGGCTAGGCCACGTCACCAGCGCACTATTCACTGTTCGCGGCAGCGGAAGCCGGGTGAAGATTACCCATTCTTGCCGAGGCGATGGGGAGGCCAGGTCAAAGATGACCTCTTCTTGCCGAGGCGGAGACGATGACTTCTTGAGCTACCAATCACGTCGGGGTCACCATTTGTGGCTGGTGCCGTGGCGAGTCGTGCTCTAAGCCGGATGAAGCCGTTCCAGTGTTTGGGATTCGCAACTTGGGATTCCACACAACGACGGGCTGGGAAGTTCCCTGATGTGGAGCCGTCTCCCCCAAACACTTAGATCGGCCAAGGATAGCGATGTATTTGAAACAGCATGAGCAAGCTATGTAGTGAACACAGCGATGAAACCATAGTTCGTTTTGGCAAAGTTAAGGACAGTACAAAGCAGTGAGAAAACGTATATCAGAGCGAGAGATACTTTCTAGAAGAGTGCGTGAATGCCCACACGACGATGAACATTATGATACATACACACGAACATACATTTCTAAAACATGAATAAATCGGACATAGAAAATGAACAAGTGGAGCAGAGCCATCTGGCGGATATCGCTGAACCTGCGCCTCGCGTCAGCTGCGACAGCAGCGCCACGTTGAGGTCGACGGTGGCGCCGCCCCGCGTCGGAGCGCTTGCCAGTCGCCAGCGGCGGTAGTGCCGCGCCGCGTCGGAGAACGTGCGGCGGTGCACTACAGTCATCAGTGATGACGTCACTGACGTCATCGGTGAGCAGGGCGACGATCTCGTCGCCGTCCGTCTCGGCGGCGCCGGTGTCCGGCAGCGGCAGGCGCGACAGGGCGTCAGCCACTGGGATGCTGCGCCCGGGCCGGTACTCCACTGTGTACGAGTACGGCAGCAGGCGGGACTGCCACCTGGCGATGCGCGCGCCGGCGCGGTTGGACGTCTTCGGCGTTAGCAGAGTGGTGAGCGCAGAGTGGTCCGTCCGCAGGGTGAATGAACGGCCCCACAGGTACGTCCGCCAATGCTCGACAGCATTGACCGCGCTGAGGGCTTCCTTCTCGGAGACGGAGTACCGCGACTCGGCGTCGGTGAAGGAGCGGGACCAGTACGCCACTGGCCGCTCCTCGCCGTCCGGCTGGATCTGAGTGAGCATGGCACCGGCGCCGCGGTCGCTGGCGTCGGTCGTCACGATCGTCCGGAGGCGGGCGCTGAAGGGCTTCATCACCGGCCTGGCTGAGATGAGCCGTTTCACCTCGTTGAAGGCGTCGTTGGCCTCCTTGGTCCACTGGAACGTGGCGTCCTTCTTCAGCATGATGGCGAGGGGTCTCACCACAGCCGAGTACTGAGGCACGAACCTGCTGAACCAGCCGGTTGAGCCCAGGAGACTGCGCAGCTCCTTTACGTTGGTGGGAGGCGGGGCCTCGGCCACGGCCTTGGTGGTAGACAGGAGAGGTACCACTCCGTGTCTGGAGAGCTGATGACCGCAGAACTCCACCTCTGGCTGGCTGAAGGAGGACTTCTCTGTGTTGATGGTGACATTTGCCTGCTTGAGGCGGTCCAGCACGGTGCGGAGGCGCCTGTCGTGCTCGGACTGATCACGGCCGGTGACCAGGATGTCATCCAGATAGTGTCCACAGCCGTCGATACCCTGCAGTAGATGACTGAGCAGCTTCTGGAACGCGCTGCCGCTAGACACCAGGCCGAACGGGACCCTGGTGTAGCGCATCAGGCCGTCTGGCGTGAGGAAGGCGGTGATGTCACGCGAGTCCTCGTGCAGACGCAGCTGGTGGTAGGCCGACTTCAAGTCGATCCTGCTGTAGAGGGTGCCACAGAGCTGGGACTCCAGCTCGTCGATCGTGGGCAGTGGGTGAACCTCTGGGACGATTTGGCTGTTCGGCCCACGCAGGTCTACACAGACCCTGATCCTGCCGTCCTTCTTCCTTGAGACGGTCAGCGGGCTGATCCACTGAGAGGAGTCGATCCTCTCGATGATGCCTGCTTCCAGCAGACTGTTCAGCTCTGCTGAGACCTCCTCTCGCACGGAGAGGGGCAGCCGGCGCAGCTTGTAGGCAGTTGGTACTGCGTCCGGCTTCAGCTTGATTCGGTGGACGTAGCCCTCGATGGCAGGTAGCTCTGACGGGGCTGAGCCTGCCACCGTGTAGACGCTGTGCGAGGCTGGGTGGAGGGTGACTCCCAGGGCCTGCAGCAGGTCCATACCCATGATGGCCTCCGTCTTCTTGGTGTCCACCAGGTAGAAGTTGGTTGGCACAGCCTGATTATTGTAGGTCACCGTGGTAGGCAGCGTTCCCAGGACTGAGAGTGGCTGCTGGCCGAATCCGTAGAGCCGTGAGCTGGAGGGGCTGAACGCCACGCCTCTGAACAGCTCCTTGGCACGGTTCACACTCAGGAGTGAGCAGGTGGCACCCGTGTCCACCTGGAGGGGTACCTCCTGTGTGACGTCACCTGCAGTCACCTGGACGGTACAGGTGAGGCGTGACCCAGTGGTGGCAGCACAGGAGAGCACGTTCAGCTCCTTCACTGCCTTGTGGTGCTGTCGTTGAGCTGGCCTTGCTGGGGTTGCTCCACTGCCGCCTCTGCACCAGCTGGCGAAGTGGCCCTTCTTTCCGCAGGAGTGGCAGGTCACTCTGCGGGCTGGACAGGCAGCATCCCTGGGTGCGTGATCATCACGTCCACAGTTGGTGCAGAAGTCGCTGCTGACGCTCTGCTGCTGCTGCTGCTGTCGCTTCTGTTGTGGCTTCCTCGTAACTTTTGCCACGGATGAGACAGGTGGGGCTGCAACTGGTTGGGAGATGGCTGCAGCCTCCCGCAGGGAGTCCTCATAGGTCTCTGCGACGCTCAGGACCTTGTCCAGAGTGAGGTCCCTGTCCTGAAGAAGTCGCTTCCTCAGGCGCTGGTGGGGGGTCTTCTCCACCACCACGTCTCGGATGAGTTCTGACTCCATTTGGCCGAACTGGCAGGTGCGAGCCAGGCCGCGCAGAGCAGCAACGAAGTCTGCTGTGGACTCTGTGGGGGCCTGGGCTCGCTGTCGGAACCGGAATCGTTCCACGATGACGTTGGTCCTGGGAGTGTAGAACTCCCGGAGCTGGCGGAGGGTCACATCGTAGTCGTCCTCGCCGTCACGTTTCGCAACCGGCGGCAGGGTGTCGAACACCCGGTACGCCTCGTCACCGATTGCGCACAGAAGCAGAGCGCGCCGCTGCTCGGGGGGCAGGGGGCTCGTGCCGCACCTGGCCAACAGATAAAGTTCGAATTTTTGTTCCCAGTTCCTCCACGGGACGGCCGGCGTCCCGGGATGGGGCAAAAACGGCGCGGGTAGGGGCGGTCCACTGTCGCCGCTCATGGCCGTACCGCGGGCCGAAACACAGAAAAAAAAAGTTACTCGGATACTCGCGACACGCGATTCCACTAGAGTCCGCACTTATCTCGTGCTTAGTCGCCAAAATGTAGTGTTATGGAATCCGAACTGATATCTGTAGTATACAATGGCCAGGTGGAACGTAAACTGTATTTTACACAAAATGGCGGAGTCACGTGAGGTCATGTGAAAAGCACTAAACAACTGCCATAGCGAACACTACACAGACTGTGATGTTTTCTCAGGAGTCCTAACTAATAATGATATTAGTGATCATTTTCCAATCATTAACTTAACAACCATTAATATTACTCAAAGTAATTCCAAACCCAAAGGTACAAAAATGCCATGGATCACAACTGCCAGGGCTGTCAGATTTGTGTCATTCCTAGAACGCAAATTAGAAGGGTTTGAGGAGCAACAGGATGTGGATGAAGCTTGTGCTGAGCTCATAACCAATGTTCAAAATAACATAAAAGAGTACTTTCCTCCAAAGCCCTACAACAGGAAAACGACTAAGAAACAACCATGGATGACATCAGCATTGCTAGCATCTGTAAATAGAAAGGACATGCTGTACAAATGTTACCTGAAAAATAGGAGCAAAGAAAACTTTGCAAAATACAAGGAATGTAAAAATTTGCTTACTAAGATCATTAGGAAGGTAAAAAGGTCTTATTATCAAAATGAGCTAGACAAATATAAAAGAGATGGGAAAAAGACATGGGACATCATCAAGGAAATATACGATCAACCTTCACTACCTTGAGGTCTGTTTTGCTGTTGGGCAGCTGTGAGGTCATGTGACGTCATCAAAGGTCACCAAAGGTTTTTGGCCAATAACCCCGTACAGGAACAAGATACAGACGCGTGGCAGTGGTCGATAAAACTTCCAACGTGCCAACGCCCGTTGGAGCAAGATATTAGCAATGCTTCGAAGAGCTGGAGACAGTCCGCCCGTCTACATGGATGCTTCCTTACGCCTAAAATACAGCATTGACTTATGACTTTCTAATCGTCCGGTGCTGTTATCGGCTGCTCGGTAAGTACCGCGTGTATGTTCCCTCATTCACTCCTGGTCACCCTTCGGTCACCCCTCGCTGGGTCGGGCCAGTCGGCTATTTTTATCCTCTTTCCGGCTAGGCCACCCGCTGAGCTCTCGCCGTGCCGCGCCGTCTGCGACGGACCTGACCCTTCTGCCGGGACAGGTTTCTCCAGGTGTCTCCAAGGAGCCATCATAGCGCTAAGGGTGTGCTCCGCATACACATACATTGATTTTCGCCCTTACTAGCAGGGCCGCTGGCACGCGTTGGCAGCGCCCTGCGGGCATTTTTTCGCTTAGGGTCATTTTGTGGTAAGGAGGATCAGAAAATCACCCTTCAAACTTTCTCCAGGCCTGGGCGTTTTATCGAGCGCGCCTGAAAACGCACAGTGGACCGAAATCACACTTCGATTGCGTTACTTCGCATTAGGTAATACGATAAAAAGTCCGCTCTTTTCTCAATCAATACGGACAAGTGCGTTAAAGCACAGATATAAACTTTTGAATTAGAAGCTTTAAAATGCTAAATTTCAACATCTCTAAGCTGATGATAATCGTTAGTTGTTTCAGACTTTGGCGCGCAAACGTAGGCATTCAGATCCACCGTGCGACCGGTCACCGTATGCAGTAGTGTGATCAGTGTGATGGTGTGAGTTGGGGAGTCGAGGCCGTGTGGGGAGAAGGTGAGGAGATACCGGTGTGCCGACGCGGCGGATGGCAGTGAATTTTCAGGATAGGTAGCAAAAGGCTCATTCCCAGACGTTGTGCCAAATTTTGCGGCGCTACGCGACACCAACTTTTACGCTATTCGCGAAAAAAACTTAGGGAGGCTGCTCCCCCCCCCCCGCCAGGCGAGGGCTAAGTTGGAGACAGTGGTGGGACTAAGATGTTCGTTGGAGCAACTCCAAGCATTTTATCGACCTCTGCGTGGATGGTCTCATTGTGTTCAGCTCGTCAAGACGCATCGAATGGTATACATTAGGGTTGTTCAAAAAAACCGAATTTTGGAAAAGTATACGGGCTCATGGCTCATGTGGTGCGGTATTCTTTTCTGAGTCCAATGATGCCTTTTTTTTCTGAAAAGTATTAACTGTTAGGGGCTCCTCAAACGGCTTAAAGAGGACCATGTTACGCCCGCCGACCGGCCGGTGTCCATAAGGGCGAGAATTCCACGCCGCGCACGGGCGGCAGCGCCTTATCGGCACCGCGCGCCACGACATCTGCCGGGCGGCCGGCCGGGCGGTGGGAAGTTTTAAGTGCGTGGTCTTTTTTATCACGCGGTTGGGGTGCGCTATCCCATGTTTTCGGGGCGGAAAGTTTCAGTGCAGCATCGGTGCGTCTGCCACCGGGTGGTCTGTGTCGATGGTACAGAAAATAAGTCAAACAGAGCTAGAAAAGAGTGAGTGATTCTGGGTAGTTGCCTCGAAGCAATCCTTTTTAAGAATACAGCTGCCTTCTTAACGTACCGTATCACTTGTTAACCCTATTAGTGGCAGGGGGGGGGGGGGGTTGTTTTTATCGACCCCTCAGGTTTTTCGGGAATATCTCCGAAACCGCTGAAGCTACGATGCTGAAATTTTCTGACTTTTCCTAAAACTAAATTGGGCACATTCCCTGAAAATTTCAAGTTCATAACTTTACCAGGGGCGGCTCCAGAGCACTGGGAATTGGGGGTCCTATTCGTGAAGCGAGTCATTTGGGCGAAGATCACGATGCTGCACCAGTTTTACGAACAGTGAATGAAAGGTATCATGTGATAACATATACAGTTATTCTGCATCCTCTTTTGACACGTTTTTGCTATAATAGGCGGATCCAGGCGTCTAAAAAGGGGGGTTATGTTTTACCTCCCAACATAGGTGCCCTGACACCGCCTATGCATGACCAATACAATTGTAGTCGTTCTCTCATAAGAAAATTGTAACATAACAAGACCATTACCACCATTTTTAGAAACAGTACCAACAAAAACCTTATTTACTATACTTTTTGTGTACCCCCAATCTCAATGATCTGTATCCGCCTATGATTTTTGAAAATGCATATTTTTGGGATCCATGTGAATTCCTGGTTCTTTCTCTATCGATCGGCAAAAGTTGCGTTAAGATTGGTTCAGAAACCTGGCCGTGATAAACAATCTAAAATGTATCTGCAATTTGCCCGTTTTTACCCCCCTCTACCCCCCCCTATTGACATTTTTTAATTTTTATTTTTTAGAAATGTAGATCACGTTGAGCGAAATCGAATGCCGTTTGAATTTTGAAAATCGGCCCGTTAGATCTCGAGATATCAAGGGGGGGGGGGTCGTAAACAGCCCCCCCTGCCACTAATAGGGGGTAGCCAGGAGCCTGCCACTAATAGGGTTAATTCTTCAAAAAGCAAACTCTGAGCAATAACACACCTCTTTGCATTGCTGTTGACAATTTACGTTAGTTTTGGACGGTAGCTCGCACCCCCAATATGCTGCCGCCCAACTTTATTCCAACGGCGAAACGGCAACTTCGCGAGAATCGAAAATTCACGATATACGTACAGCAGGGGCTGGCAATGCAGTATGCACAAGGACATAATTTAGAGGAGACCCGACAGTCATCGGCCCAAGTTTGGAGGTGGCTTTGACGGCTTTGACGTCACCAATGTCATTATTCAGATACGTTGATATCAGATGCTGGGGCAACAGAATCGACGCCAGGCAGGGTTTAACTTAGATTAGCAGGTCGAAAGAAAACATAACATGTCTGGGAATGACAGGGTGGCCACCCTGACAGTGTGACGAAGTGAGACATGAGTAGAGACATTAGCCGGAGTACCTACTCATATAAATCAAGCGCCGTTTATCCAATCCTTCGAGCATAAGCGACGCCGGCAGTCCGGCCAGGGCGGCCGTGCCCACCGATGCCGATCAAGACCCGAATCCAGACCCGGCATAGGACACAGCTCTGCCCTGACGTAACACATTACCCCGGTGTGTCACTCATGACGGATAGACCAATGCAGGAGCCTTGCCAGCTCCTGTTATACCTACTTCGCTAAATTTTCGATTCTCGCTAAGTTGCCGTTTCGTCGTTGGAATAGAGTTACGCGGCAGCATATTGGGGCTGCGAGCCACCGTCCGCAAAAGCAGCTTGAATTGTCAACAGCAATGCAAAGAAGTCTGTTATTGCTCAGACTTCAGAGCTTGCTTTTTGAAGAATTAAAAAGTGATACAGTACGTTAAGAAGGCAGCTGTATTATTGAAACGGATTGTTTCGAGGCAACTACCCAGAATCATTCAGTCTTTTCTTAGCTCTGTTTGAGTTATTTTCTGTACCATCGACACAGACCACCGCGGCAGACGCACCGATGCTGCACTGAAACTTTCCGCCCCGAAAACATGGGATAGCGCACCCCGATCGCGTGATAAAGACCACGCACTTAAAACTTCCCACCGCCCGGCCGGCCGCCCGGCAGATGTCGTGCCGCGCGGTGCCGATAAGGCGCTGCCGCCCGTGCGCGGCGTGGAATTCTCGCCCTTATGGACACCGGCCGGTCGGCGGGCGTAACATGGTCCTCTTTAAGCCGTTTGAGGAGCCCCTAACAGTTTATACTTTTCAGAAAAAAGGGCATCATTGGACTCAGAAAAGAATACCGCACCACATGAGCCATGAGCCCATATACTTTTCCAAAATTCGGTTTTTTTGAACAACCCTAGTATACATGATGACCTCGAGGTCACGTGACCTGAGGTCAACCTTTGACCTTGACCTTTCGAGGTCAACATATATATCATTCGATGCGGATTGACGAGAGGATCACGATGATGCCCTTAGTTTGTTCCTATCTTGAATAATTCGAAAGTTATTCGAGAAAAACTCTCTCCATATCTAGCGCCGCCATTTTGACTTTTTCGACCCCTGTAACGTCATCTTTGACCTGACCTGAAAATGACCTCAGTAAAACTTGTAGATCTTGGCCGTGCGTATCCGATGCCGTTTACCGCTTGACGCTATCTTGCTTCGTTCTCGAGATCTCAGGGGGGGGCGGTCATCTGCCCCCCCCGTCGGTGCGAAGTTGGCGCAGACCCCCGTCGGTGCGCGGGTTAACC